AAAAAAAAAATACATACCATGTTCAATAAGATCCCGTAGTTAAGACTATAAATGAATTTAATATCACAACATGGGGAAAAAAATGGAAGGCCTGTGACAACCTGCCATGAGCAAGTGCCTATTGGCACCTTTTTTCCAGCAGCACTTGTGTCTCTGCGTCACATTTTGGTACACCTTGCCTTATTTCAAGCTTTTTACTATTATTTTTGTGAAGGTAATCTGCAGTCAGTAATCTCCGATGTTACTATTGCAGCTGTTCTGGGGCACGAAGAACCACACCCATATGAGGCAGTGAACCTCATGCATGAATGTGTGTGTCCTGACTTCTCCTCCAACAGGCTGTTCTCCCATCTCTCTCCCTCTCCACAGGCCTCCCTGTTCCCAGAAACAAAAATATTGAAATTAGGCCATTACTAACCCTACAAAAGCCTCAAAGTGTCCAGGTGAAAGGAAGAGTCGAATGCCTTTCACTTTAAGTCAAAAGATAGAAATGACTAAGTTTAGTGAGTAAGAAATGCCAAAAGCTGAGACGGGCCAAAATCTAGGCCTCTTGAGCCGGACAACCATCCGTGCTGTCATGCTTTCCCCCTCTCCTTTCACAGATTTGGACTCCTAATCAACTGCTTGCATCCCAAAAACTCTACCTCAGCACCTGCCTACAGAAGGTAGGCATTGAGGTGAAAACAAAACAGCCCAATATTCAAGGAGAAGACTATAAATGTAGGTGATTTGATGAGGGCCCGATAATAAATAAGAGGCCAGGCCTGCCCAAGGAGCTCATAGTCCAGTGACAGACACAGAGAGGGAAACAACGTGTATGCGTTAAGTGCTCCCACCAGGGAAATAGAAGGCGTGGGATACAGGACACGGTGGGGGCACTGTTGGGTATTGGGGCAGGAAACTGGCAAAAGCAGAAATGTGACAGACAGGCTAGATGTAGCCAGGGGAAGTGATGGGCTGGCTGGTGTGTTGTGCTGGGTAGAGTGGTGCCTGCAAAGATGTGGAGAAGTTCAGAATGACAGGAGAGATTGTGAAGAGAGGAGGGGCCATAGACGAGGTCGGCGATGTGGGCAGGGGCTTGATGGAACTCAGGAGTTTAGAAATTATAAACTGTAAACAGAGCGGTAACAGTCCAGTGTGTATTAAAAGATCATGCGGTGTTAAGAATGACCAGGAAGAGGGCAAGACAGATGGCAAGGAGACCAGGTTTTGTGGAGGGATTCAGGGAAAGTCCAGAATAGGCAGAAGGTTAATATGGTCCCACCGCTGTGGGGAAAGTAAAATATTTTTTTCTTAGTGGATAAAGAAGTGGTACATACATGCAATGGAATAGTACTTAGCCATAAAAAAGGAAGCCTTGCCGTGTGTGACAACATGGATGGACCCGGATGGTATTGTGCTAAGTGAAATAAGTCAGAGAAGGACAAATACCATATGATTTCACTTTTATGCGGAATTGAAACACAAACAAATGAACAAAACAGAAATAGACCGATAGACACAGAGAAGAGATTGGCGGTTGCATGATGGGGAAGGGGTCATCAAGTAGGTGAAAAGGATAAAGAGGCATAAAATTCCAATTATAATATGTTAGTCATGGGGATTGAAAGCACAGCATAGGGAATATAGTTAATAAAATTGTAATCTCTTTGCATGCTGACCGATGATAACTACACTGTATGGGGTGAACATTTAAAAACGTAGATAATTGCCGAATCAGTATGTTGCATACCTGAGATCAGTACAATATTGCATACCAATTATACTTCAATTAAAAAAAGATTATACCATCATTCGGTATCTGAAACCAAGAAGATGAATTCATTGCTTACTCAGGCAGAGCCATGGTGGCCACACATAGTTTCATTCAGCACGGAAAATCCTGACACAGGGCTTGGGGGAAGGTGTTGTTTGGGCTTGAACTGCTTACAGAGGTGGGAGTGGGTTAATGTGGATTTCAAAACATGATTTGTGTTGCATTCAAAAGTAGGTTTCAAAATGATAGAGAGGAAAGGATAAAAGAGAAAAAGAACAAAAGGAAGTCTGCAGGAAGAGTGAAGGAAGAAGAAACGTAGAAGATTCGTTAGCTGAGTAATTCACTTGCCAGGATGGGAGGGGCCTATATTTGAATTTCAAGAGTTTCTCCACTTGGGTCCTGTTTCTTTTCTGCCATCCAATCCAGGACACCGCATTGCATTAACTGCCGTATTTCCCTCGTGTCACCATTTCTCTGTGTTGCCTTGTTTTTCATGGTCGAGGCGTGTTTGAAGAATACTGGTCAGGTACTTTGTAGACTGTTCCTCAGTTAAGGTTCTGCTGAAGTTTCCTCATGATGAGATTGGAGTTACATATTTTGGGGAAGAATGTCACAGAGGTGAGGTACCCTGTTAGGGGTACATGACGTGAGCAGGACTTGCTACTCTGCTGGGTGAAACAGTCTTGGGGCAGCCCTGAAGTTTTTCCCTTTTGTCTTGACAGACAAGGCAGTTTTTACCACACTGTGAAACGACTCTGGAAGAAATAGGAGCAGAGCAATTGTTTTCTAAACCCCTTTGAGGGTGAACTGCCTTTGGGTGCCGAAGCAAGATAAAGAGGAAACCCTTGGTGATACTCAGTGACTGTCTGGGCAAGGGCACAGGCAAAAAAAATACTCTGGGTGCAGGAGAGACTTCGATGATAGAGAAAGGCAGGATCGCGACAGAGAAAAAAACCACGGGAAACAAACAAACGAACCAACAAAAACAAACAAAAAAACTGGTCGGGTCACACCGGTGAAAGCAAAGGTGAATGAGAATGAGAAATGGGTTCAGCGGCAGTGTTTACTACATCCCCTTGGACGGCCCCTCCTTTCTGTACTCACACAGGGGGAAAAAAGCAGCAGTTGAAAGTACTACACTAATTCCCTAAACACGGGACTGGACTAGAGCTCCAGACACAACGTCCAGTGAAAAAAGGCAAATTCCAGGATAAATGCTGAATAATGCTATTTATACGAATTTAAATGGACATAAAAACACTATCCTTTGTCATATGGGGCAGTGAGAGAAAGCAGATCAGCGGTTGTGCGGTGATGCGGGGTGAAAGTGGGAAAACAATCTGGATTGCAACCGTATTCCACAGTAGCAGCCGCCTCTGGGTGGGTTGAGGCCAAGGCGGCCTGCGATGCCGACACACACGGGCCTTCCGCAGCTCCTGCGGGCCCTCTCGCCTCCCCTCTCCGCCCGCCCAGGGTCCCAGGAGAAGGTGCTAGGGTGGCCTGCAGTAAGGCTTTCAGAGACCTGAGGCTGACGGCGGGGGCGGGGGCCCTCGGGCAGGACTTTCCAGGAGTCGCCGAGGGCCCAAGCTTGCTGCTGATGCCAGGGCCATAGGCGGTGGGGGCCCAGTGGAGACCTAGAGCTTTGTAGGAAGGGGGGTGAGAGGTAACCCATGTGACCCCAGGCGTGTGTTAGTTACCCTGCTAGTGTGAAGCAGTCTCTGGGATTGAATGGGGCAGGGGAAGGGAGGTGGGTATCAAAAAATGCCATTACCTTTCCTAGGTAACCTGATGATTGAATCTAGAAGTTCGCCCTGGAAGTAATTTGTACTAAATTTACAGCAAAGAAATGAAAGATGCCGAACCGAACGGCTGATTGGATCTCGGGTCGAGGCCTCGTGCGTGCTGATTGGCCTCGGGTCCAGTCCGGCTACGAGGGCAAAGCCATTTGTGCTCAGATCCGGAATCTGCGGCTGACCCGCTTTGTGACCTCCGATGAATTACTTCACCTCTCTTGTTTCCGCATCGTATGATCACATATATAAAATCCACCTCACAGGATGGTGTTGAGGAGAGTTGGGCTACTTCATGTAAGCTCTGACCCACGGGATGGAGACACTGGGGAAATGACCATAATAACTTCCGGGGGCGCCTTACGGTGACTCAGTCAGTCTCGGGTGTCCGGAGAAGTCGAGACCACGCAGCGGGAGGACGACGCACTGGGCTCCGCCCTGGAGGGCGTGGCGACACGCGGCGCCTATATAAGGCGAGGCCTGCGCTGCGCTGCGCTGCGCTGCGCAGCTCGGGGGTCGCCGCTCAGCGCAGCTCCGGGGTCGCCGCTCTTACCACGCCGGGTGCGGACCTCAGCCCTCAGCTGGATCGTCTTATGGTGAGTCCACCTTCGAACGGAGGGGCGAGTTCCAGGTTCTGGGGTTGGAGGCCAGAAATTCCCAGGTGGGCAGTCGAGAATTCTAGCGAGAGGTTCACTCGTGGGAGACAGGGACCGAAACGTCTGGAATGGTTCTGTGCCTCACGACACCCGCCCCGCCCCGAGTGACTGACTGCCCTGCGCACGGGGTGCCGTCCTCAGGACTGACGCGGGCCTGCCCGGGAAACTGCAGGTGGGGCTGGGCCTGCCGGCTGCCGTCCTTGACGGCTCCTCCAGGACACGGCCGCTGCCTGGCTGGTCCCCGGACCACCGCCTGGCACTAGGCCGCTCCCAGCACCTGCGGAGCGATGGCAGGATGCGCAGATGGCGAGGGCGCTGAGGCACAGGGGCCTGGGAGGACTGGGTTAATCGTTCGAGAGAGGATGAGCTAGGCGTAAGGTGTGTGAGAGAGATTCTTCCGTTCCTTCCTAACTTCTCTGAACATCTTTTTATTTTCCCCAGCTTTTCTGAGGTAGAATTGACATACTTGCGTGTTATTCAGAGTGTACAGCGTGATGATTTGATGATTTGATGTATAATATACATTGTGAAGTGACTACTGCAATCAAGGTCATTATCACATCCGTCATACATCATCACTTGTTTTTGGTGAAAATGCTTAAGACGTACTCTCAGCAAATGTCAGATTTACAATGCAGCATTATTAGCTTGATCACCGCCCTGTACATTGGATCCTTAAACGTACTCACCTTAGAACTGCAGTTTTGCAGGCTTTGACCAACGCCTCTCCCCGCACCCACACGGCCCCCGCACCTGCCAGCCACTAGCAACCACCATTTTACTCTCTGATTCTGTGATTTTGACTTAAAAAAAAATTCCACAGTGATAAATACTTACAAGCGTTTCCCCCCAACCCCCTTTTTTTTACACAGCATGATGCCCTCCAGATCCATCCACTGCGTTGCAAATGACAGAATTTCCTTCTTTTCTTATGGCCGAGTAATAATACTCCGTTGTGTATATACACACCACATTTTTAAGATTTATTCATCCCATTAGCAGATACTTGTGCTTTTCTATATTTTGGCTATTAAGAATAATACTGTAATGAACATGGATTGGTGTGTAGATATCTCTTCGAGATATTAATTTCATTTCTTCAGATAAATACCCATGAGTGGAATTGCTGGATCCTACAGTAGTTTTATTATTTATTTCTGGAGAAACTTCCACGCTGTTTTCCATAACGGCTGTACCAATTTACATTCCCAAACAACAGTGTACCAGGTTCCTTTATCCACATTCTCCCCCAAATTTGTTATCTCTTGTCTTTTTGATAATAGTTATTCCAGCAGGTGTGGGGGGCTCTCTGATTATGGTTTATATTTGCATTTTCCTGATGATTAGTGTTGATCAACACCTTTTCCTTTACCTGTTGGCTGTGTGCATATCTTCTTTGGAGAAGTGTCTGTTCAGGTCCTTTGCTCGTTTTAAATTGGATTGTTTGTGTTTTGCTATTTTAAGTTGTATGAGCTTCCTTATGTATTTAGGTATTAACCCCTTATTAGATAGATGGTTTGCAAACATTTTCTCCCTTTCTTGATTGCTTGCTGTGCAGAAACTTTCCAATCTGATACAGTCACTTGTTTATTTCTGCTTTTGTTGCTTGTGCTTTTGGTGTTTTATCCAAAAAAAAAAAATAATAATAATAATCATTGCCAAGACCAAAGGCGAGGAGCTTTTCCGGTATGCTTTCTTCTAGTTTTAAAGTTTTGGTGTCAAGTCTTAAATTCAAGTCTTTAATCTATTTCGAGTTGATTTTTGTGAGATGTAAGATAGGGATCCAGTTCCATTCTTTTGTATGAGAATATCCAGTTTTTCCAACACCCTTTATGAAAGAGATTATTCTTTTCCTGTTGTGTGTTCTTGGCACCCTTGTCAAAGATTAGTTGACCTATATGCGTGGATTTATTTTTGGGCGCTTGATTCAGTTCCGTTGGTCTCTGTGCCTGTTTTTATTCCAGTACTGTACTACTTTGCTTACTGTAGCCTTATAATGTAGTTTGAAGTCAGGAAATGTGATGCCTCCAGTTTTGTTCTTCTTTCTCAAGGTTGCTTTGTAATTTTGGGTCTTTTTTGTGGTTTGATCTGACTGTCAGGATTATGTTTTCTATTTTTGTGAAAAATACCATTGGAATTTTGATCTATAGGTCGCTGGGTAGTGTGGATGGACATTATAACGATATTAATTCATTGAATCCAAGAACAAGGGATATCTTTCCATCTGTTTTTGTCTTTAATTTCTTTCACCAATATCTTACCGTTTTCATTGTACAGGTCTTTCATCTCCTTGCTTAAATTTACTCCTAAGTGTTTCGCTGTGTTTGATGCTGCTGTAACTGGGACTGTTTCCTTAATTTCTCTTCCAGATAGTTCATTGTTACCAACATGCAACTAACAACTCTTGTATGTTGGTTTCACATCCTGCAACTTTGCTGAGTTAATTTATTCCAAGAGTGTTTTTGTGGAATCTTTAGGGTTTTCTATGCATAAGATCCTGCCATCCGCAAACAGAGACAATTTTACTCCACTTCTGGTTTGGATGCTGCTTATTTCTTTTTCTCACCTATCTGCTCTGGCTGACTTCTAGTACTGTGTTGATGTAAGTGGTGACAGTGGGCACTCTTGGCTTGCTCTTGATGTGAGAGGAAAAGCTTTCGGCTTTTCATCATTGAGTATGCTAGCTGTCAGTTATATATGGCCTTTGTTATGTTGAGGTACATTCCTTCTACCCTTAATTTGTTGAGAGTTTTTAATCATGAAAAGGTGTTGAATTTTGTCGAGTGCTTTGCCTACAACTATTGAAATGATCGTATGATTTGTATCCTTCATTTCTTGATTAATTTGTCACATCTATTGATTTGTGTATGTAGAACCATCCCTTCAACTCAGGGATAAATTCCACCTGATGATGATACACGTTCCTTTTAATGTGCTGTTTAGTTCAGTTTGCTTGCTTTTCGTTGAGGAGTTTTGCATCTACGCTGTCTTCAGGAATATTGGACTATAGTGTTCTTTTCTTATAGTGTCCTTATATGGCTTTAGTATCAGGATAATGGTGGTTCTGATAAAATGACTTTGGAAGTGTCCCTTCCTCTTTAGTTTTTTGGACGAGTTTGCGAAGGGTTGGTACTAATTCCTCTTTTAATGTTGGGTAGAACTCACCGGTCATGTCCTCTTGTCTTGAGCTTTCCTTTGACTTTTGATTACTGATTCAGTCTCTTTACTAGTTGTAGATTTATTCCGATTTTCTATTTCTTCATGGCCCAGTACTGCTAGGTTGTATGTTTCTATGAATTTATCCATTTCTTCTAGGTTATCCAATTTGTTGGCATATTATTGTTCACAGCAGTCCCTTACAATCTTTGTATTTCTGCACTATCAATTCTACTGTTTCCTCTTTCATGCTTGACTTTATTTATTTGAGGGTTCCCTTTTTTCATAGCTAGCCTAGCCAAAGGTTTGTCAATTTTGCTTGTCTTTTCAAAAGACCAGCTTAGTTTTATTCATCTTTTCTATTTCTGCTCTTTGTTGTTCCCTTTCTTTTGCTCACCTTTGGCTTAATTTGTTCTTTTTCTAGTTCCTTGAGATGTAAAGCTAGGTTTTTTTGTGCGTGTGAGATCTTTCTTAATGATCTCCTAGGACTGCTTTTGCTGTACCCCGTAAGTTTCCATATGCTGTGTCTCCATTTTCATTTGTCTCGAGATATTTTTCATTTCCCTCTTGGATTTTTCTTTGACCCATGGATTATTCAGGAGTGTGTTATTTAATTTCCGGGTATTTGTGAGTTTTCCAGCCTTTTTCCTGTTGAGTTCTGGTTTCGTACCGTTGTGGTCAGAAAAATACTTGATGTACTTATAAGACTTGTTTTGTGACCTAACATACGATCTACCCTGGAGAAGGTTCTGTGTGCTTTAGAAGAATGTATGTTCCGATGCTGCTGAATGGAATGCTCTGTATGTGTCTATTAGGTCCATTTAGTCTAAGGTGTAATTCAAGCCCAGTGTTTCCTCACTGATCTTCTGTCTGGATGACCTATCTGTTTTTGAAAATGGGAAACGAAGTCCCCCCCTACTGCTGCGTTGCCGTCTACTTCTGCCTTCAGATCTGTTAATATCTGCTTAATATATTTAAGTACTTTTATGTTGGGTGCACGTATTTACA